AGCTTCTGTTTAATCTCGACGTTAACACAAAATTATGTCATCCCACATACATATAAAATCCCCAAAACGAAAAAATCAAATCCCTAGTTCCCAAATCGATTCAATCTTCATCTTCTTCAATTTTCTTCAATCTTCATCTTCTTCCTCTCTTCCCGAGCAAAATCCAGAAAATTGATAGAGAGGTTTCTCTTCTCTCACTTAATTCTTGACTCTTAAATTTCTCTCTTGATCTCTCTCGTCTCGATTCCTCTGTCTCTCTCTATAGATATTGAAATCAAGTTTCTTATCTTTCAAATTGAAATTCCCATTTGTTTTTTTCGATTTGTTCTTCTGTGAAATCATGCCAAATGTAAAACGGAAGAAGGGGAAGGGTTCAAAAAACCAAACTGAAGAAGTTGAACCTGAAGTTGAGGCTGATGCTTTCGGTTGAGCGGATGTGGGGGATGATGATTTCGATGAGCTTGATGATGCAGATGGTACTGAGGTAGTAGAAGAAGGTTGTGAAGACTTAGTTGTACATTTTGGACAAGTAGTGAGAGATGAGGAAGTTGGCAGTGATGTGGATAGTGGACATGATATTTGGGATGATGAGAAGATTCTTGATCCTTTGTCATCTGATTCCGAGGACATGGAGGATGATGAGAACAACGAAGTGGAAAGGTATAGAGAGCCTGAAGATCCCGATGAGCTGCTAGCATTGGGGAAAACCTACAATTCTGTTGAGGATTTCAAGCTTGTTGTCCTAAGGTATTCTCTAAAAACTAGATACAACATCAAGTTGTATAGATCACAAGCTATGAAGATTGGTGCAAAGTGTGTTGACACTAAGTTCTTATGTCTGTGGAGAGTGTATTGTGCTTATGAGAGGAGGAGACTTAAGATGCAGATCAAAGTGTATGTAGACAAGCATTTATGCATCCGGTCGGGTTATTCTAAAATGTTGAAGCGGTCTACAATTGCCTGGCTATTTTCAGAAAGGTTAAGAGTGAATCCAAAGATTACACAACAAGAGATGGCTGCTAAGATTTTGAGAGAATACAACTTAGTTGTAAGCGATGATCAATGTGGGAAGGCGAAGACAAAGCTTATAAAAGAAAAGAAAGCAAGTCATGAAGCTCATTTTTCGCGCGTATGGGATTTTCAGGCAGAAATTTTTGAGTCAAATCCCAACACCAAATTTGAGATTGAGACCATTCCAGGGCCTATTGTAGGGAGCAAACAAAGATTTTATAGGTTTTATGTTTGTTTTAATTCACAAATAGAATCTTGGATCAAAACTTGTAGACCAATCATTGGGATAGATGGTGCATTTCTGAAATGAGATATCAAAGGCCATCTTTTAGCTGCAGTTGGGAGAGATGATGATAATAGGATTGTCCCAATTGCTTGGGCAGTAGTCGAAGTAGAGAGTGATACAAATTGGGAATGGTTTTGTTAAACATCTTTGTGGAAGTTTAGATCTTGGTGAAGGAAGACATGTTGCCATCATATCGGATAAACACAGGGTTCGAATCTAGTCTCATGCGTTTACTTGCAATAATTTTTATACTCGTTTGATACTCATATGTTGTTTCTTGTATTATGTTGCAGAGTATTGTTAATGCTGTGAAGAATGTCCTTCCACAAGCTGAGCATAGGCAGTGTGCTCGACACATAATGGAGAATTGGAAAAAGGACAGTCACAATAGAGAGCTACAAAGCCTATTCTGGAAAATAGCTCGAAGTTACACACAAGCATAATATAGAGATCATATGGATGCATTAGCAAGATACAATCTTCAAGCATTTTCCTCTCTTCAGCGTACTAATCCTCCATCATGGTCTAGAGCTTTCTTTAGGATAGGTTCATTTTGCAATGATATTCTGAACAACCTTAGTGAGTCTTTAAATAGAACCATTCGTCAATCAAGGAAAAAACCATTACTAGACTTCTTAGAAGATATTAGGCGACAATGTATGGTACGGAATTAAAAGAGGTCTATTATTGCTGGAAGATTGAAGACAGAATTCACAAAGAGAGCTCACGCTGAAATAGAAAGGATGATAGAAGGGGCAAAACATTGCATAAGACATATGGCAATGAATGATTTACATGAGGTGGAGTACAATGGTGTAGGCTATTGTGTGGATATAAACACTATGACATGTGGTTGCAAAAAGTGGCAAATGATTGGGATACCATGTGTTCATGCCGCACATGTCATCATAGCAAAGAAAAGAAAGGTTAAAGAGTTTGCAAATGACTACTACACAATAGCAATGTGGCGGGAAACATATAAGAATGGTATTAGGCCTGTTCAAGGCATGAAATTATGACCAAGATTAAACAGATTACCTGTTTTGCCACCATCATGGAGAAAAGGTAATCCTGGTAGACCAAGCAATTATGCAAGGAGGAGAGGAAGATATGAAGCTGCTTCTTCAAGCAATACCAAGTTATCACGTGTTCAAAGAGTCATGGCATGCTCAAACTGCTTGCAACAAGGACCAAGCAAGCTTGTACAAATTCGAGAGTTGAGCCTCCAGCAAAACGACCAAGGGATCGACCAAGAAATATCAGGTTTGGTTCTTTTTTTTTATTGTGGAATCTGAATGTTTGATTAGCCATTGATTCTGGAAATATAGGGCATGCATATCGAGTGTTAAGTACTTAGATTACTAGAGGATATTATTATATCATAGAGTATGTTGGTATAACATCGCTTTTGTTTCTTGCATAATTTCATACATTTTTCATTTATGTCATCAAGAAGAAGAAACAGGAGTTTCACAGCCACAATCCCAAGGAGTTTCACAACCACAAGTACAAGCAGAACCTCACGGATCACAACCACAACTACAAGCACAAGGAGAACCTCACGGATCACAACCACAAGCACAAGGAGAACCTCACGGATCACAAGCACAAGGAGGATCACAAGCACAAGAATCTGAAGGTGAAGAAGGATCAAGGCAACAAAGATCTCAAGGTTGGCAATCATGGTTTCAGTGATCAAACTAGCTATTGTTAACATTTTTTGTTTTATGTCTTGGCGTGGATCATGGTTTTATGGCTAGTGTTGACATTTTTTGTTGTTTATCATTTGGATCATGGTTTCTTTGTTTTGTTGTTTATCATTCGAATCGTGGTTTTATGGCTATTATTGACATATTTTGTTCTATTATCAGATCATATTGTTGGCATTTTGTGTCTTTTTATGTATGTTGCTCTTTAGTGTTCTTTTCTTTGTAATTTGTATAAAATGGACATGGTTCCTTTTCAAGTTTCTTAGTTACCAAACATATAACATGATCTCATTTAATCATTTTATTCTCATTTCAATAATCAAAAGATCCAAAAGCCATATATATCATACATAAACTTGTTCTAAAAACGACAAACTTGTTCCAAAAACAACAAATTCAGATTCAAAAACCACAAATCTGAATGCAACTTCTACATAATCCATTTCTCTTCACACTAATAACCAAACACAAGTTTTGTTTCCTTTGCTTTACCAACCACCAACAAGATAGCAATGACAATCGTAATGAAGCAAAAACACACACAACACAATGTGTTCATCGCTTTGCACTTCTTTATTTCCATTTTGCTCCTCACCATCTCTTCCATTAAGCTTTCAGTGAAACGCTTCAACTCTTCAAGCTCAGATTTGGCATCTTTCATCTCAGTTTCAATTCTTTCTAGCTTCAGTAAACCGTCCTCTACCTCTTCAAAAACAGCTTCCTCCACCCACTTAAACAAATGCTCATATTACATAAACAAATAAAATGACATTCAAATGATTTCTTTCATCATCCTAAACATCAAACCCCAGAAAATTTCGAATTATCAGAAATAAATTTAGCTATATATCACTCAACATTCAAAGTCACAACTAAGAGAAAAACAGACATTTAAGAACCGATAAACAATTAGTTCTCTCGGTTTCAGTTCTTGAATCTAAAAATATAAACAACAAAACAATATCAAAATCTTACATCTCTTGTGTTGGTACGATTTTTAACATCTCTCTTGCTTATGCATCGGAAGAAAGGACGTCCTGGATTTTCTTGTGTCTTAGATGTCAGAATGCTTGCATCCAATCCACAAGCATATTTCGAAGGAATGCCACGGTCCAAGCTGGGATTCATTGGAAGAAATCAGTTGGGGAAAAGAGAGAATCGAGAGAGACAGAAGAAGCCAAGAATTGATAGAGGAGAATCGAGAGAGAGAGAGAGGAGAAGTGAGAAGAGAAGGGAATTAGGGATTTGATTTTATCGATTTGGGGATTTTTATGTATGTGGGACGACGTAGCTTTGTGTTAACGTCAAGATTAAACAGAAGTTAACCTCGTTATATCTAGCTGTTAGTTGAGTTAACGGTATGCCTAAATTGGCTTAGTCAACGAAAGTTCAGGATTTAAAATATAGTCAAAGAAGAAGTTTGTTCTTTGATTTGTTCTCGTGATAGTCTGTGCTTTAATTGGCCGAAATTTGAAAGTTCAGGCTTTAAATGACTTTTTCCCATTTTAGTTTCTTGGAAAATATTATTTAAAAAAGTAACACAGCCCAAATACTCAAGCTTGTCACCTTCTCGATTTACTTCATACGAACCATGGAACCAACTTCATGCATGTATTGCGCATATATTTTCTAGATAAGTAAAGAGTCATAAGTATATTGCACTTATATATATGTACACCTCATAACATTAATCCCCAGTAACAAATGTTGAATCGACAAGAAAAAAAAAATTTCTCCCAGGCGACTTTCCCGAGAAAAACAAAACCTAATATTCCCTTCTCTCTTCGGCGGCTCGGCCCCTGTGAGTCGCCGCCGCTGTCCGTCAGCAAGTCCTTGCCAGCTGACTTGCTAGTTCTGTTTTTCTACCATCTCGCCTCCCATCAGTTCTCTCTATGGAAAGTTTAGATCTTTCACTTCCGTCTTCTCCAATCGTGACAGCCAGTATTTTTTCATCTCTGCAATCCGTCTTTGATCCGACAAACTCTCGTGACCCCATGTCAGCGCCCGTTACTTCATCCCCTGTTACTGTGATTTCAGGATTTGATTTTGCTGCAGAAGCTCCGCCGGCTGTGCTCCCTGCGGGGGTTCTCTCTATCGATTACAATGGCATGACCGATGAAATGCCTTTTGTTCCGACTCTTGGAGCACGGGGGAAGCCGCTCAAGCTTGTCCCGAAGTTGGATCCGAATCCAATTCCTCCTCCACAATCGGATAAATGTATCCCTCCACCTGCTGTTAAGGAAGATGGAAAACATCGGTTTCCATGGGCTGCGAAAATGAACCCAAAATTTCGAAATCTTCACCGTGCCACATCTCCGACCTATCTGGAGGATGGTACCCCCATGGTAGAAATCCCAAATCACGTTCTGTTGCAAGGAATTGAAAATCAAAAGGAGTACGTGATTGGTCAGTTCTTCCATTGTAAGACGCCATCTGGAGGCCTCGTTCATGCTGTTACAAATCGGATATGGGTTAAGAAATGTAAGATTTTTACTCGTAAGTTGGGTGAATCTTCTTATCTGTTTCATATTCCTGACGCTTCCACTAGAGCTTGGGTTCTTCAACGCGGTTTATGGCATGTTGATGAATGCTTATTGTTTGTTTCCCCTTGGACTCCAGAAGCATCTTTAGCTATGCCTGAAATCTCTTCAGTTCCTGTCTGGGTTACTCTAAAAAATATTCCGAGTCGTCTGTACTCTCATGTAGGGTTTAGTTGGGTAGCTTCTGGGCTAGGGGAACCCGTGCTCACTCAAAAACCTAGGCTAGACCCAACTATGATGGGAGAGGCTAAGCTTTTGGTTGAGGTTGAATTGGATAAATGATTTCTCCATAGGATTGCGGCTAGGGATAAAAAAGGTATTGTCTCTCTGGTAGATGTTGAATATGCTTGGATTCCTTCTAAATGCGATAGATGTGGGCAGCTAGGCCACAAGGTGGCGAGATGTCTCCATGATATTGCTATTACTGAGAATGTTGCCTCACCTGTAGATGCGGCTACATTAAGGCCTGGAACTGTTGTTCCTATCACTTTTGTGCCTCCGTTTGCTCATGTAGCCAACCCAGTTCATGATCAATTATTGAATGATTCTCTGGAGATTACTTCAGTCTCTGTATCAAACATTAATAAAACTTCTTCTCCAACTACTGAGGCAGCTAATCTTGTTGAAGCTGCCCACACCTCCAACTATCCATCTGTTATGACATATGAATCTACTTCTACAACTACTAAATTGGATGACCAAACTGAGCCTCAAACAAACGTCACTATTCCGAACAGCAAGGCACCCATAACCACAGAAAATCATATCTCTTTTGGCGATCTGTCTGATCAGGACCTTTTTCCAATAGAAACTTTGCAAGATGAAGACCAAGTGTCTGTATCGTTTCAGAGGACTTTGCGAGAGAGGCCTGTCAAATCACCCATAAGGTACAAGATATATTGGAATAGGCAACAATTCAAAGCTGAAGAAAGCATAAAAAACACGGACGTAGTTGATTTGGATAATCTCCATTGCATCTTCTTCTTAAGTTACAATCTTAAGATTTTCTCTATCGTGTTCTCATATGTTTGTTTCAAATATATGCTTTCTCAATTGTAAGTTTTGGTTTAACAATTGTAAACTCTGTTACTTTTAATTTTAATGCACCGAATTAAGTAAAAAAAAATATTAATCCTCAGTTTAATATATGAATATTTTGTTTGATCTCTTCACTTTCATATATATAGCAATTAACATAGCATGATTCCTTTGTAAATGTAATATCGAAATCTACAAATCCGAGTAGGTAGCAAAGAACACATTTAACTTTTGTCAGTGATTTCTATTATTTTGGTGTTTTATCGAATGAAAATGACAAAAAATTATATTCGAAAACAATTACAAAAAAAACTATGAAAATAAAAAATTGGTAGCAAATAAAACTTAATGAAATAAACCTTTTTAAATGAGTTTCGTAAGCGTTGTCAACATGTTAAAAACTTAAGATACATATGTTATTTAATTTATTTTGTATTTCATGTTATATTTATGTAAAATACTTTTAAAGTTAATAAATAAAAATGTTTAAAAGAACTTACTTTTTAATTAAATAATATTTTCAAAGAAACTAAAATGGTGATATTTTTTTCGAATATATTGACAGCGCAAACATATTTCAGATATTTCAGAAAATATAGAAGTATATGTTAGATATTAAAGAAATGATTTATTTCTCTCTAAAAGTCATTCATTGTTATCAATCAAATTGAATTTACAAAATCATTACACAAACTAGGAAAACAAGATATTACATAAATAAATATATACACCTAAATACTAAAAACAACTAAAACAAACAAGCTGTCAAAAAAAAAAAAACTAAAACAAACAAATAAATTGTCGATTATTCAAGAAAAATGATAACTATCCAAATTTCTCCATAAATCAATCAGCTTATTGAGAAGTTTCAAAATATAATAAGATTACAGTTAAAATATTTTCCTTTAAAATCATTAATAAAAAAACAACGGATTTGATGCAAATGAGCAAATGTTATTTTTATACACAAATATTACATATGGTTCAATAGTAATAAACAAAGTGAAGAAAATATATAAATGTACAGGTGAGGATTACCAAAGTAGGGGTTTCAACTTCATCGTCTCTTTTATCGGACTGCGTCAAAAAAGCAACCGTACCTTTTCCCCCTTTTCTCTGGCGTTGAATCTCATGGCGGGAATCAGATTGCAACCGGAAGAACCGGAGACAACTCCTCAGCAACAAGCCAGAGCAGCGGCGTTGACGACGACGGATAGTTTGGCTTCCGACGACGATCGATCTATTGCGGCGGATTCGTGGTCGATCAAGAGCGAGTATGGAAGCACTCTCGACGACGATCAGCGCCACGCCGACGCCGCCGAGGCTCTCTCCTCCGCCAACTTCCGCGTCTCTTCAGATTACAGGTCTGTTTCTTCTTTCTCAGCGATTTCGCTCGACTCTTGGAAAAAAACATAATTTGGAATAGAGGGAGAAATTGGGGTTTTCATTTTCCGGAATAAGTGTACGTTTAGGGAACAGTGAACTAAGTTGGATTGAATTTTTCCAGATCTTAGGTTTATCACGAATCTATTGAGTATTGATGATTGAAATGATGTGCACAGTTCTGACAAGGAAGAGCCAGACGCTGATGGAGGACAGTCAATGCTTGGTCTCCAAAGCTATTGGGACGCGGCGTATTCCGATGAGCTCACGAATTTCAGGGAGCATGGTCATGCCGGCGAAGTTTGGTAACCATTCATTCATTTAGATCTCATTATAGATCTCTCTGATCATGGAACTTGAGAGAGGGAGAGAGAGAGAGAGAAAAGACCCTTCATTTCTTGGTCACTATCTAGTGGAAGTTTATTAACTTCTTTCATTTCCTCTTGGAAACCTTAGGTTTGGAGATGATGTCATGGAGATTGTTACTTCTTGGACAAAAGATTTGTGCGTTGAGATTTCTCAACGAGAGATGTCTGTTTCTGACAACGATGTCAAAACGGAGGTGAATGATCAGGCTGATAAGTATTTGTCTAGTTGGAATGTGCTTGACCTTGGTACTGGGAATGGCTTACTCCTTCATCAACTTGCTAAGGAGGGGTGAGCTTCTGAACATTTCCTCATGCTGTGTCCTTTAAATGCTTAACTATGTGTCGTTACTGTATATAATATATGTCTCTGTACCATTTTTCCATGGGTACTACGTCATTTGACATTAGCTGATTGCCACTAGTAAGTCTGAGAAGCTGGGAGTCATGTAGCATTTAAAATAAACAAGTTAGCATAATGTCTTCTATTGACTTTCTTCTTTCACTTTAGCAAGCAATTCATGTTGTCATGAGGTTGTTTTATCAAATAGGATCATTGTGAAGTTTATGAATCCAAAGTTCTATAAGGATGCTTAGATGTTGGTTGTATATCACTGGCCTTTTGGCATTATGAGTATCTGTGGCCACAGTAACCTTTCACGATTTTCGGTTCTGAAGGTTTTTCACATGAAAAGCAACCACTGTTTGTCAAGATAAAGATAATTTTCATTTAAAATAATATAGGAATGGAATATAGAATCCTGTCAATTTTTTGATATGTTTGGTTTCGTTTAAGACTCAAAAAGTATTTAGAGAATATTTATCAGAACTAGCCTCTCTCAGAGGCTTGCATCCCCCTATGCAGTGAAACAAAAATGTTACTATATCTATATACTTCAGACGTTTTACCTTCGAGCTTGTTAATGTAATGGAAGACCAAACTATCCTGAATGTGGTGACATTGCAGTTTAGCTATATCATTGAAGAGAATGTTGTTGATACACTCGAGTCTTATGTTTATACTCTACTCTTTCCATGGCATCGTCAATCTCATCAACCTTGCACTTTTCTGGCTCAGGTTCTCTGATTTAACCGGGACTGATTATAGTGAAGGAGCGGTAGAACTCGCTCAACATCTCTCCCAACGTGATGGGTTTCCGAATATCTGTTTCATGGTATGGCTTTGTTTAGCTTCAATACCGAAAACGTTTGCACAACCTATGTCAAGCATTATTCCTCCATAAAATTCCAAATGCTATTATGAGAACAGTCTTTCCTATGTATATATATATATATATATATATACATCTTCTTTCTTAAAAAAATGGTAACTGACCTTGATCAAGCAATGGGAATTGTTGGTTACATACATTAAACATTTTGCAGCACAGAACTCAAAATCTTCTCTATCCTGTAACGAGAGCATCACAAGACGTATAGAGAAAGATTTGCGGAAAACAAAAGTAGATTCAAGTTGCTCTATGTTGTGGAACTAACGGTTTACTCTCTAGGTTGATGATATCCTTGATACAAAACTGGAACGGCAATTCAAGCTGGTAATGGACAAAGGAACATTAGATGCTATTGGTTTGCATCCTGATGGCCCTGTCAAAAGGTACCTCCTTAGATTAACATCCTTTACAGGAAATCACCGCATGTTACTTTTCTTTTTACCGAGTAAACATATTTGGTCCTCGAATTCGCGTCAATTATATTTTCGTTACCAGTGACACTCTCATTTCTGTGTTTCAGAGTCATGTATTGGGACTCAGTGTCCAAGCTGATTGCTCCTGGTGGAATATTGGTAAAAAAAGCTCCTCAAGACTTCTGAAAACTCTTTTGTTATAAGCTATAATGCTTCTTCTATGTTATCTCAATTCTTTGTTTCTGCTTCTGTTAAAAGGTTATCACGTCGTGTAACAACACAAAGGACGAACTCTTGGAAGAAGTGGAGAATTTCAACGTCAGGAAATTGAACTTATCTAGAGATGGAGATGATGGTACCAATGTGGTTGCCTCTGGCTCTGAAGCTGGTAACAACAGAGTTGATCATCCTCCGTTTGAGTATCTGAGCCACGTTAGGACATATCCGACCTTCATGTTTGGTGGTTCTGTAGGATCTCGTGTGGCCACTGTTGCTTTTCTAAGGAAGTGAGAATCAGTTTGGGGGGTTTTCTCTTGAGGGGAGGGGATTTGCATAATATAATGATGGCTAAACTTTTTTTTTTTTGTGGTGTCAAGTTTGTTCATGTGCTTTTGGGAGCTCTTAATAACCCTTTGAATTTCAGAAACTTTTGGTCTCTGAAAAAAAAAAAACTGATGGGTTTGGTCATTTATCAGTGTTTTCTATTTTCTTAGGTTAAGTATGTGAAATAGATTTACAAATTACAATCTGGATAAACTGATCTTATCCAAAACAATGGTTTATTTCATTGACCAAACAGTTAAAAATCCAAAAATCCAAACGATTGAACACTCAATAATTAGGTAGTCAATTTAACAAGTGGGGAAGGGGAAAATTCAAAGTCTAAACCTCCAAATTTGTATTACATAGTTTAGTCTCTTTGAGTTTGATGTTTAAAGATTGGAACTTCTACATCAACAAGAGAGAAGAAGAATCATACACGTTAGATACAATTTTCATACTCGATACGGCAGCGTTTTGATACCAGAGGAAAACAGACTCCAGAAACAGCCCCATCACTTTGCTTCATCCTGTTTCTTTAGCAACCCATTTTTTTTTTAAGAGAGACTGAAAAAACACAAAACTTCAACAATGGAGATGAGTTTGAATCTCGCATCGTCTTCAACTTCAAACCCTGTTTTCCTTTTCAATCCGATTCTCTCAGGGAAGCAGCTGAATTTCCCAAACCGACACCAGAGAATCCCTAAAAGAGCGAAACCCTTTTGCGTTAGGTCCTCGAGCAACCTGTCTGGACCCAGACAAACCCTATCTAGTAACTGGGATGTGTCTAGATTCTCCGTCGATTCCGTTGCTCAATCGCCTTCTCGGCTCCCGAGTTTCGAGGAACTCGACACCACAAACATGCTTCTCCGTCAGCGAATCGTCTTTCTTGGTTCTCAGGTTCATTCCCAAATCACTCCCTTTTTGATTTTTTTTTTTCGAATTAGTCTAGAATTTTTATCCTTTGTATTTCTGAAATCGTTCTTTATAGATAGTCGAATTGAGTGATAACTGTATGAAATTAAACAACATTTGCATTAACCTTGTGAGAAATTGTCATATTCTCTAGCTCTTTAATTTTGTAAATTTGTCTTCCGTGTATAAAGTAAACTTGTGTTTTGTTCTAATTAGAATGATAATTGTAGCAGTTGGTGTAGTTTGGAATTGTTTTGTGCTGGTTAGAAATGATTATTGGAGACTTTGATGTAGTTATAAGCTCCTAAAAGGCTGGACTTGATCAACTCGATAAATTGTTTGATGAGGATTAAAGAGTGGATTGTTTTGGAGATAAAGCTGTGTTCTTGTGATAATCTTGCGAGAGACTGACATATTCTTTAGCTCTTTGATTATGTATGTAAATGATTATTGGAGCATTTGATAAGTTTTAAGCTGTTTGTAACATTTCCTCAATATTTCGAGCAAGTAGAATGAACATGAACTTTGATCAAGCGGATAAAATTGTTTGATGATAGTTAGAGAGAGAGAGAGGAGAAGTTTCAGAGATAAAGCTGTTTTCTTGAATTGTTTCTACAGCGACTCGAGCTTTCTTGAATTTGGATATTTTCCAGGTGGATGATATGACAGCAGATTTAGTCATAAGTCAGCTCTTGTTACTAGACGCTGAGGACTCAGAGAGAGACATCACGCTGTTCATCAATTCACCTGGTGGTTCTATTACTGCTGGTAATGTTCCCATCTCGCGCCACACACTTTATCGTTTTTCATCTGCGAATCTCGAGTTTGAAATTGCTTTTTCTTTTCAGGGATGGGAATATATGATGCAATGAAACAATGCAAGGCCGATGTATCCACTGTTTGCTTCGGTCTAGCTGCATCCATGGGCGCGTTTCTACTTGCTTCTGGTTCAAAAGGGAAACGCTATTGCATGCCTAACTCTAAAGTTATGATCCATCAGCCACTTGGTACTGCTGGAGGCAAAGTACGATACTTTGACGCTTCTCGATTTCGTTTGTTTTACTTCTCGATCACGTTAGATAACAAATGTTTTACTTTCAGGCAACTGAAATGAGTATACGCATAAGAGAAATGATGTACCACAAGATTAAACTTAACAAGATCTTCTCTAGAATCACCGGGAAGCCTGAATCAGAGGTAAGTTTAATATATTTTCAGACGAGGAATCTCATCGGTTTTACTTTTCTTTACAATCTTTTTTTTATGTTAAACCCTTTACAGATTGAAGGTGACACAGACCGTGATAACTTCTTGAATCCATGGGAGGCGAAAGAGTACGGTTTGGTAGACGCTGTAATTGACGATGGCAAACCGGGATTGATCGCGCCGATCGGAGACGGTACGCCTCCGCCTAAAACCAAAGTGTGGGATTTTTGGAAAGTTGAAGGAACCAAGAAAGATAATAAGAACTTGCCAACGGAGCAGTCGATGATACAGAATGGTTCTGCTGTCGCTGGTGAATAGAAGAAGTGTTGTTGTAGTTGTTGTTGCAGTGTTTTACTTCTTATAAATTGTTTATGTTAAATGTGTTTAGCTGCGAACTGTGTGACATGGCGTTTTCTTGTGTTTGTACCATTTCTGGGATAGTTTTTTGAAGTAATTTGAAGGAAAACGTTATAGATTATCTGTTGTGCCAGAGAAGGTTGAGTAAGAGAGAGTTTGATGCTGAAATGGTTCGGTTTCTGCTGTATAGTTGCAAATTTAACCTTTTTGACAAGAAACCAATTTTACGATACTTTTGAATAGGCAAATATATATCGGGAACCAAAGGAATTGAACCGAATTGGAAGGGATCAAAATAAACCGAATATTCATAAATATCTGAACAGTTTTTTTTGTAAAATATTTTGGATATCTGATCGAACCGAACCGAAAATTAATTTGTATATGATTGCGATACGCGGTGAATTTTTCGATTTAGTTTTTGACACATATCTCGATATTTTATTATATAAAGTTCATAGATTTAATATTATATAGCAAAATAATATAGTTAATGTAGATTCGAAATAATCAAAATATCGATAATTATTATAATTATAAAACAAAGATGTTAGTTATGGTTATATCAAAATAATTCGAAATATCTAAAATAACTTAACTGAACAGAACGAAAGTCAAAAATATATATTTTAAAATTCCCTATATATTAAAAGAGAAACATTTTTAAAGAATAATCTTAATTTTGTAAAATATTACAGTGGTGCTATTTTGCTGATGTGTCATCACCAGAATCATTTTCAGCAAAGTTATAAAAATAGACTTAAGTTACTAGATTAATTACATGTTATGCGACTCACATTAATTTGGTTATACATTAGTTTATATCAATTATATTGATGATGATTCATCAAAATATTCTTTTTTATATCAATTATATTGATGATGATTCATCAAGATATTCTTTTTTTCTATTTTTTACCAAAAATATATCATATTAATTATTTCTTTAAATACTATATTTTATCTTTTATTTTTGTAGAAAAATAATTCATCACATCATTCATATTATATTTTCTGTGTTAAATTCGAATTTCATAAAAATAAATAAATTACTCAAATAATTAATAAATAAAAATATTTTTGAAATACTAAAATTAAAAATAAGGATGTATAGTATATAAATATGATAAAAAAACAGGAAGCTTAATTTAATAGATATTATTATTATAATTATTTTTGGTTTCATATGGTTTTAAAACCATATAAATTAACCAAATAATATAAATATTTAAACTTTATAATAAGTACAGAATATTAATAAAAAGTTGAGCAATAAAAAATAGTTGAATATATTAATAGAATATAATATTATTAATATTTTATTTGATTAAAAAGTTAAATATCATAAAATTTTTAATTTATACAACAAAATAAATTGGTAAAAAAATTAAAATATTTTTGTAAGGATATTATATAATAAATTTATTAAACTTTTGATATTAAAAATAATTTTATTGAATCAAAAAATTAAGAATGTATAAGTATTGACTCAGTTATATACAATTTTAGATAATTTATTAAAAATAATAAAAAATAATCTATTTTTATATAATCCTTATGCATATTTAGTATTTAAAATAAATTTCATAGTATTTTTTTTCTTAAAATTTAATATTCTTATGCCTATAGCTTTTTGCGTATTAATCTAAATATGCATTTACATTCATATAAGAAATATTAAAATCGATTATGTCTTATAATCAAATTTTATTTTTACAATTTTAATACTCTCTATTTCAAAATATAAGTTGTTTTGCATCAAAGCACAAAGATTAAAAAGTAACTTTTCTTCAAAAAAATAATCATTTAGTATATAAGTTAAATATAATTCAACTAATTATGAAAAACTAAAAATATAATCGGTTACAAAGTATTCATAGGAAGTAGTAAAAAAGATGAAAACAACTATATTGTAAAACAAAACAAAACCTTTAAAAAATATATCTACATGAAATAGAGAAAGTAGTAAAAAAATACTTATTATTATCATAACACATTAGATACTTAATCATTTAATTAAAATATAATCCCTCTATTTTTTTTTTAATTTTAAGATCATGTTATCAATCATAAGTTATAGAAAATATAAAGAGTGACTTCGTATTTCTATCCAGATTGCGCATATATATTTAATTTTTAAACTAATTTACATTATAATTAAACTACCCTATATTTCGTTAAATAAACAAAAAAAATATTTTATCAATATTACAGCATAATGTTATAAACAACTCATATAAAATCAATTGTATTTTGTTATATGATTTTAAAATTATAATATATTAAATATATAATTATTATTTTATCCCGCACAAGATGCGGGTTATTACCTAGTTATATTATTAATTGGCAAGCAAGTTGAGTTGTGGTTGAGAGTTATGATAGTTGATTACTTTTTGTCATTTATATGAATTTACTTTAATTATCCTTAATAAATATATATTAATTATTTACTTATATATATATCATTTTATTATCATTGCTACTCTAATCGAATATTTTTTTCTTTGGACTGAACATATAAACTATTAATCATAAAAACACTAATTTTTTGGCTCTATATATATATATATTCTTTGTACCTCTCGATTTATGTTCCATATTATTGTTTGCCCTAATTTATTTCTTTTATTACATTGTTCTTCGATAGTTTTAGCCCTTTGTATTCTGATTTGTTTGATATGAAAGCAGGTGGGTATGTTTTGGTTTACGTGATGGTATTGTCTATACTAGAGGTTTCAAATCGATTCAAACGATATGTTTATGTTACTTTTATTTGTGTTATACGATTTGTTTGTAAGTGTGTTATATGGTGAAAAGGTGTAACTTTGTAAAGTAAGTCCAAAATAGTGTGCTTGAATGTAAAATTCTCCTCCAAGAGACGTTTACATAGGTGGACACTTTTCCATCATTTCCTTACAAAATAGACACATTTTGCATTTAACACATTTTGTCTTATATTTTGTACACCTTATTCTCTGTTTTACCCTCTGGTTTAGTGATTTTTTTTTTTCTAATTTTTTAGATGCTGTCAACAGAAAAGTAAAAAAAGAATTGATATTTTGCAATCTTAACAATGATTGGATCTCGAATTACAAAACTGAGGGGACTCAGATTAAAATTACAAAGTAGGGCAGTGCTTGTTTTTCAATATCGTACTGTAATTTCAAGATCAGTATGAGATCTGAATCTTGTGACTATTTTTTTATAGTTGCTTCATATGAGTTTGAATCACTTCAAGATGGAGGTATTTGGCTGTTTAACCTAAGCTGAAGGTAATGAAGAACTACTGCAATTCATTTTTTTAGCTTTTGCCAGATTTGAGTTAGATTTGGTTTTGGTAAAGATGGAGGAAGGAGGTGTTCATTAGGTGGTTTTTGACCATAGTTAATCATCCATGAAATGTCGTCTATGTGAAAAAAATATGAATCGATAAATAGGTGGAGTTCAATGCTGCCGGATTTGATATGGAGAAGAGGGTGCTTTATGCTGCTGAATTTGAAATGAAAAAGATGGAGATGGATTTTCTTTTAATTAGATTTTGGATGAAGATAATCAAGAACTATGGTAATTAAATTTGTATCTATTCCCAGATTTGAGTTGGAACTGATTCTAATTACGACAGAGGAAAGAGGCAGAGATTGGAGATTGCCATGTGTATAATTTTGGTCCAAGAGTATCCACGACTTTATGTCCACTGTAATTATGTCTAAGAGTATCCATGATTTCATTTGCATTCGCAGGAAATATGGTGAACATATGGCTATTTGCACAAACTTATATGATGGACAAGTTGTTGCTCTCTCTCTCTCTCTCTCTCTCTCTCTCTCTCTCTCTCTCTCTCTACCAAAGTCTACCAAAAAGTGTTTTGCTGATGTTGGCAAAAAAAGTTATTCTAAAATTGTCCATAACATAGAAAGCATTCATATCGCTGCGTCCACGCTGCTGCGTCCATAACATTGTATCGCCACTACAAGCATACCACTACATCTATATATGATCATCCACAAAGCTACATATATCATACCATTGCATCTATATATGGCCATCCATATTACATAATCCATCATATCAATGTTTTGTTCATGTTATAATATTCATAGCATATCATCCAATATAAGACCAATACATAATATGGATCTTCAATATATCCATATAAATTCTTTATGAATGATTTCAAAGAAGATAGCTACTGTCAAACTAATCTGATTTGGAGAGATTAATTGGCCAAGTTTGTGTGAATTATTAATAAAACTAAAAGCACAAAATACACTAGCTAGTGAAGACAAATTCACTAAAATAAAATTTACAGTTACAATTACTCTCAAAATCAATAGAAAGACAAAATCTTAATCACCAATTCATATTCAGATTACATAATGGAAATATCTATGAATTTTGTTCGAAAGATCCAGAGATAAATATGTACATACTATATTGTATAGTGGATCAGTTTTACAATCTCTTATCCACGACATGATATCCACGAATTCATGTCCATGAATTAATGTCCGCAGTTGACAATTTTTCCAATTTCCATAATCGTCTATCACCTCTGCAATTTCCATAATCGTCTATCACCTCACCCCACAACTCCGGTGAAAACACAACCTGCTCCTCCACAAATTTACTCTCCTCCTCCGCTTCTTATGCTTCTTCTTCACCTCTGGCAGCAACAACATCTCCCCTTCCCCACTTTAACCTTCACCACCGATAAATCTCGGACAAACAGAAAGACCTGGATAATGATAATCCAGTGATGTGGCTTCCTGACAATCAGATTGTATAGGCTTTATGTTTTAAAGCTAACTTGAGAAGCATGTTAAGTAACAAGCCTATATTTCTTCCTTTTGTATGAAGTAAGCTTACTGATAGAGAAACTAAGGTCTGAAGTTTCTTGTATCATCTGCTATTTTATAATATATCAAATTGTTGTACATGAAAGGACAATATCAGTATCA